AGAGAGAGAGAGAGAGAGAGAGAGAGAGAGAGAGAGAGAGAGAGAGAGAGAGAGAGATGTGTGTGTGGGATGATGCCTTTCTCTAACCCTCTGTACAAATTTTGATTTCAAACTTGGCCGATTTCTCTATGGCCGTTCCGATCTTCTTGCGAATCATTTTGGATTCTTAGCTTATGATATGTGTGGAATGGTGTCCCTCTCTCCTTTCTCCCACCTATGTAGTCCTGATGAGTGGCGTCGATCCTCTTTCTGTTCAGGACTACCCCTGGTCTGTGTTTTTCTTGTGAATGGTTTGATTTTCCCCCTCACCCCTGTCTCACCATGGTATGATGAGATCGAGCACGACGACGGTCTGCGCGTGACGTAGGGAAGCTTGGGTTATGATGATGTAAGCTTCCCCGATGACATGGCTTGATGCACAACCCCTGATCGATCTTTTGCTATACTTTTTCGGAAATCCACACGTCCCTTGAGTTCGATTAATGTAGGAATTTGATCGATGCCTCAGTATGCATGTCAACTTCCCGTTCGCTTTTTGATAAGAGAGAAGAATCTAACCGAACACTCGGCGGGCATGACTGATGCATGCTCTTGTGGGTAAGTGGATTCAAATGAGTGATTGTCAACGGATTGCCTTCCTAATGTCTGCTTTTGACACGCCCACGGGCTTGCATGACGACGGGTCAAACGATCTCCCAACCAGAGGGACAGTCGGTCGATCAGTTTCAACTGGTCTCAAACGTGGTCTCGAGCACATACGCGCAGACTCGATCAAAACGAACATTGCCCGCACGCGCGTCTACAGCGCCTGCGCTTGAGTCCATGTCTAAACTCACAAAATTCAGGTAGCATGGATGATGGCACTCCCTTCCACGTCACAGATCAAGAGAGCCTGAGACACCGACGGTTCCGAGAACACACGGAGTGGAAAAACAGTTGTCTTCTCGCACAAGCCCGCCTCAACCCTCCAAAGTTCCCCTTTCGGACGGTTGAGGAACTTGTCTGTGAGTAAGATATCGAACGAGCTCTAAACGCGATCCCTTTTCCCTCCCAGTTCCCCAGCTCACACGTTAGTCATGTCATCGCCGAACTCAGTGTCGTCATCATTGAGACGGACTTCGCTCCCTACCGCCTCGTATTGCCTTTTCACTGCCTGACGACGCCCCCGTGACACGCACTCACCCCCTACTAGGCTTGAACCCTGCGATCCGAGTGCCAACAGGACAGCGAGTACCGAGCCGCGGGGCTCGTTTGACGAACCCGGACTGAGGCCGAACAACGAGCACACAACCTGCGCCTGAGGCCCGCTTCGTCCAACTCGGAGGCTTGTCACGAGCGACGCTGTTGCTTGGTGAGGCAACACGACACACATAGCGTTCCACCGGTTCACCCAAATCCGAGTCCGGCCTCGACAACGAAACTCGCGGGGATGGCGATGACATCCCCCAAGGCACAAAAGTCGGATGCGGTTCGCGCTCACTATCTTGCATAATCGCCCTTAAGGCTTGCCACAGGAGATTTCAGTTATGACCTGGAACTTCACCCGCACTATCATAAAATCCTTGGCACACCCCTTTTTCGCACTTCCGGGCCCCCATCTCACTCCGATCAGGAAGTCGTGCTGGGTGTGAGGTTGATATCGGAGCTGTCAGTGAGGTTGGTCGTCATCATCATCTTCATCATCATCATCTTCCGGATGATGTTCATCGTCATCAGCAAATCCAAAATAAGAACTCTTATCTACCTTTCTTCGTCATAATTTTCAGAAATTTCCTATTCTCTCACTCATATCTTAGGAATTTGAGTTCCTTAAAGGCTTAAACCCTTGAGGCTCGTTTTTTCTTCTCTTCACTATCAATTTCTGGTTCCTCTTCGGGCGCATTAATTAATTATTTTTGTGTGGGTGGGGGTTTGGGGTCTTAAGGAGGAGAGCTCTACTCCGCAGGGGCTTCACAAGGTGGGGGCTGAAATGCCCTGGAGGGAGTGGGGGCAGATTTTTGGGGATTGCCCTATTTTGGGGCTGGGAGAGATGTATGGGCTGGCATCATTTCCCAACGGAGGGAGATAGGGGTGAGGGGGTGGCTGAGACATACTTTGGGTGGAACTGGATGCCTTAGTGGAAGTCGGGGAGGAAGCAGGTATATCCCAAATTTGGGCCGATAAGGAGAGTTTGTGATCAAAGCAGTCCTTTGCGGTGGAAGCAACGGAGGGATAGGGGGAGATGTAAGGGAGGGGGGGAAATAATCTACAACAACGTCTGGAATTTTGGTTTTCCTTTGTAGTGTAAACAAATTTACTTCTGGTGAGGGGGTGGGTTGGGGGAGAGCTCTACTCTACAAGGGCTTCACAAGGAGGGAGGTGATTGCCCTGAAGGGAGACGGGGCAAAATTTGGGGGATGCTCTATTCTGGGGGCTGGGGGAGATGTATGGGTCGACATCATATCCAAGCGGAGGCAGATAAGGGCAGGGGTTGGCAGAGGCATACTTTGGGTGGGAACTGGATGCCTTTGTGGGAGTAGGGGGGGGAATGGGTATGTCCCAAGTTGGGGCCGATGAGGAGTGCTCGTGATCAGGGACGGTCCTTTTCGGTGGAGGCAGCGGTGGGGCAGGGGGATGAGGGGAAAGAGGGGAATTTCTATATCCTTTGCGTGAATTCGGTTGGGACTTTTTCCGATTCTTCCTAGAATATTCAAAACAAGCACCCTTGTTATTCCTGGTAGTTTGAAGAATCTCTTAGGACTCTGAGGGACTGTTGGTGGTTTGTACGAAGCTGCACTGGAATTAGACAGTTATATTCATGATCCGTCGCTGTTCCATGCCAGAACGACGCTGGCTGGAGCCGGGGTGATGCCCTGTAACTTGCCGAAGGTGAGGGCACGGGGCCTTGTAGAGAGATCTGGGGATGCTATGCGGGGGCATCCTAAGAGATAACTGGGGGTTGCTGACACAGGAGGACACTGGTCGGAGCTGGAGTGAGTCATGTTGCTCTGTAACCTAGCGGATAGGGGGCGTGAGGCCTGGATGAGTTTGTCAGAGAATAAGTCAGTTTAGGCGAGCTTTGTTAAGATCTGCTGGAATTACCTTAGATACTTGAGT